TTCCTCAGCACCACATAAGCAAAAAGAAAAAAGCCGGAAGTGGCGCTGTGGCTCAAGTGGTAGAGCGGTAGGCTTGAGCTGAAGAGCGAGGGACAGCGCCCAGGCCCAGAGTTCAGGCCCCACGACCGGAAACCCCCCCCAAAAAAAAAAGAGTAAGAGGACCTGAGTTCAAGCCCCAGTGCTGGCACAACAACAACAAAAACAAAAGCAACAATAAAAAAAAAAAAACAAGCCAAGCGCTGATGGCTTACACCTGTAACCTAGCTACTCAGGATGTTGAGATCTAAGGATTACAGTTCAAAGTGAGCCTGGGTAGGAAAGTCTGTGACTCTTATTTGCAATTAACTACCACAAAACCAAAAAAGCAGTAGAGTGCTAGCCTTGAACAAAAGAGCACAGGCCCTGAGTTCAAGCCCAATGACCAACCACAACAACAGCAAGAAAGAAACAAACAAATATACATTCAGCATCATTCAGGTTAAAACTTCCATTCTTTTTTTTTGTTTTGTTGTGGTTGGTCGTGGGCTTGAACTCTGGGCCTGGGCACCGTCCCTCAGCTCTTTAGCTTAAGGTTAGTGCTCTACCACTTGAGCCGCAGCACCACTTCCAGCTTTTTTTATGTGATGCTGAGGAATTGAACCCAGGTCCTCATGCATGCAAGGCAAGCACTCTACCACTGAGCCACCTTCCCAGCCCAGAGACTTCCATTCTTGACTATTGTTCAAGTTCTATCTGGTTTGATCATCATGGTGTGGTGTGACTGCAGTGTCTCCTACCCTGCGGTAGCTAATACTGGGTTTCCCACTGGCTGTTGCTTACCCTGCAGCGCCGCTCCTGAGCCAGGGATTCCACCCGGTTGGTGAGAAAAGCATCCTTTGGGGAGGCATCAGTAAAGACAAAGATGTCTGAGAGTGGAGGTGTGTGCAGCAGGGCTAGCTGGAAGAAAAGAAAATGAGTGATGTTTAAAAATGGTGGAGGCAGAGGAGTGGCTAGAACCAGGGCGGGCAGATTAGAAAAGAATATGGCCCTGAAATCCTGATGCTAGCAGAACTAAGATCCGAAGGAGTGGATGTGAAGTGGAAGAGGGGAAGGGTGTCTAGGTCTAACTCCCCCTGGTGGCAAAACCTGGAAAAGGCATGATAGAAAGAAGAGGAAGAGAAGGGGGTCAAACCTCCAAGGCAGACAGGCACATCTCAGGCTCATCTCCACCCCCCAAGGCGTGGATCTCATTGAGTTGCTGCCAAAAGCTATCAGGATCACTGGTTGTAAAGACAGGTCCAAACCCTGGGCAAAGGGAAAGAGGGTTGAAATGAATGAGGACAATGTATCCCAAGTTCCTACCCCAGTCCCAAGGTGGACAAATATTGAAATAAGAGTCTATGTTTAGCATAACTCAACTTCTGGAAAAAGAAGTCTCTTTATTTTTATAATTATGTTTCTCCTTTTATACCTCAGGCATGGCTGATGCCCCTGGTGAGAAAATGAACCTCCATTCCCCTAAAAAATGTTGGCACTTCCTGTGATCCTGAGGAATTATTTTTATTCAGTATATGTGCTTGTATTTAAAACTACTAGGGCCAGACACTGGTGGCTCACGCCTGTAATCCTAGCTACTCAGGAGGTTTGAGATCTGAGGATCACAATTCCAGCCTGGGCAAGAAAGTCCCCGAGACTCTTATCTCCAAATAACCACCAGAAAACTGGAAGTGTGCGCTATGACTCAATGTGGTAGAGCATTAGCCTTGAGCAGAAAAGCTCAGGGACAGTGCCCAGGTCTTGAGTTCAAGCTCCAGGACTAGCAGAAAAACAAAACAACAACAACAGAAAACAACTAGGCCCTCAGTTTCCTAATTAAAAAAGAGCCAGAGAAAATAACAGTGCTTGGACAAAACAAGTAGAATAATGAACACCATGCTAAAATGTTATCTATGTCATTATCAGACTTCAAAAACAAAACAAAACTGGGCCTCACTATGTAGCATAAACTGGCCTGAAACTGGAGATCCTCCTGTCTCATTCTCCCAAGTACTAGTATTATAGGCAAGAGCCTATATATCCAGGTCTATAGGATCTAGAAGACAAGATTAACTCAAACTTTCCTTTCCTTTAGGGATTCTTATTCCAGGAGGCATTTTATTTGATTACCATTTCAATCATGGGAATGAGGCAGATAAAAGCAAGGACTGACTCATTTAATGGATGATGAGATTAAGCCAAAGAAAAGTGAAATGGCAAACCCAAGGACACATAATAAGACTGGTAGGCCCATACATTACATCACTAGGAAAGAATACAAGTCGCTACCTCACACATTTCCCTGAGAAACAGAGCCACTAACCTTAACCTTCATTCTGATCTCTGCCTACATGAAATGAAGAGTGAAAGTAGTTTATTAAAGCTAGACACTGGTGGCTTACTCCTGTAATCCCACCTACTAAGAAGGTTGAGATTTGAGGATCAAGATTTGAAGCCAGCCTGAGGGAAAAAAATGTCAATGAGACTCTTTTTTTTCCAATTAATCAGCAAAAAGTGGGAAGTGGAGGTAGAGATCAAGTGGAGGACCCACCATCCTTAAGCAAAAAAAAAACAAGTGGGAATGTGAAGCCCAGAGTTCAAGCACCAGTTCCAACATGAAGAAAAGATAGGAGAGAGAAGAAAGAAAAGAGAGGAAAAAAGAGAGGAAAAGATGGTTGATTTGTATAGCAATCTAAGAAAGCAGAGGCCATGCACCTGAGCAAGAGTCATGCATTAGACTTTTAGAAAGTGCTGCCATTTTACAAACAGTACTAGAGGCTTCTTGTTTTTTGTTTGTTTTTTATTTCTGTCCTGGGCTTGAACTCTGGGCCTGGGCTCTGTCCCAGAGCTTTTGTGCTCAAGGCTAGTGCTCTATCACTTGAGGCACAGCTTCACTTCTGGCTTTTTTAGTAGTTAACTGGAGATAAGAGTCTCATGGACTTTCCTGTCCAGGCTGGCTTTGAACCATCATCCTCAAATCTCAGCCTCCAGAGTAGCTAGGGTTACAGATGTGAGCCACCAGTGCCCGGCTAGCTTCTTCTTTTCTCTATATACACACTACACGCTCACTCACCATTTTCTTGAGGAAGTAGAGCTATGAGACCACTTCCTCCCCTGAGGCCTTTACCCCTTGCCCTGGACTTTCCTTCCCTCTGTCTCGGCCAGATCCCAGCTACCTGGATCATGGAAAGGCACCAGGATGTAGTGGTTGGGCTCCATGGGGCTGCCTCGTCGCTGCTCCACAATGTGGCGAGTCTGGATTTTGGCAGCGTTGATCTCCTCCCCCATGCTGCCCGTGGTGTCCAGGACAAAGCTCAGACTGGAGGCTGGGGTGATGTCCAGAAGCCTAGGAAGCAGGCCAGAGACACAGTGAAGAAGACACATTGGATCCCTGCCCAGTTTCTCAATTCCACCAGGAACATCAACTCATCTCAAAGAGGCCAATCACCTGGAGAAACCGTTGTCTCCCAGGCGGCTTCGGAGGAGATTGAAAGCTTGGATGGTGGACAGCAGGGCCAGGTTTGCAGCCTGTGGGTGGAACATGTGGTGTGGGGAGAAGCTGGGCGAGGTGCTGTCCTTGTTGATGCCTCCCCGGGGTGGCTGGGTGCGGCTCGCATCCAATCTGCCCCCATGGCTACATTTCCCTGGGTTGAGGAAAGAGATGTAGACCAATGGAGATCACCGAACACGGCCTCCTCTCTGGGCCTTCGTCCACCCACCCCACTGCCAATAGCCTCTCGTTCTGGTGATAATATGGTAGATGGGACAAAGGCCTCAAGGACTGAGATACTGTGTAAGTGATGAAAGAAAGTGAGTCTCCTCTTGTTCCAGGGAGACTTCCTGACAGGTACCTGGAGGTTTAGGGGGATGTGTCCCAAAGTAGCCAGACGTAAGAAGTGTGACGGTCAGCAAATTGTTAGGGCAGCTCAGCTCTGAACAATCAGAACAGGTAATAGCACGGGCTGGAAAGAAAGGCAGAGCTGGAATCAAAACCTTGGTTGAGCCGGGCACTGGTGGCTCACTCCTGTAATCCTAGTGAGTCAAGAGGCTGAGATCTGAAGATTGCAGTTCGAAGCCAGCCTGGACAGGAAAGTCTGTGAGACTCTTATCTCCAATTAACCACCAGAAAACCAGAAGTGGCACTGTGGCTCAAGTGATAGAGTGCTAACCTTGAGCACAAAAAGGCTCAGGGACAGCACCCAGGCCGAGGTCAAGCCCCACAACTGACAAAAAATAAATGAACAAAGAAAAAAAAAATACTTGGCCATCTCTAGACTTTTATTTTTGTCCACCAATTACCGATTTCTTCAGATTTTACTATGAGCTGGAACAAGGAGAAAGTCCACAGGTACCTGATCTGCCTCACTGGTTATTGGGCTGGCAGCAGGAACGGATGTTTAAGATTGTGGTAATAAGCCGGGCTCCAGTGGCTCACGCCTGTAATCCTAGCTACTAAGGAGGCTGAGATCTGAGGATCCGCAGTTCAAAGCCAGCCTGGGCAGGAACGTTCGTGAGACTCTTACCTCCAATAACACACTCAGAAAACTGAAAGTGGCCCTGTGGCTCAGGTGGTAGAGTGCTAGCCTTGAGCTGAAGAGCTCAGGGACAGAGCCTAGGCCCAGAGTTCAAGCCCCACTACAGACAAAAAAAAAAGGTGGGGGGGGGCCTGAGAAGGTGGCTCAGTGGTAGAGCGCTTGCCTTGCATGCCTGAGGCCCTGAGTTTGATTCCTCAGCACCACATAAGCAAAAAGAAAAAAGCTGGAAGTGGCATTGTGGCTCAAGAGGTAGAGGGCTAGCATTGAGCTGAAGAGCTGAGGGACAGCGCCCAGCCCAGAGTTCAGGCCCCACGACCGGACCACCCCCCTCAAAAAAAAAAAAAAAAAGATTGTGGTATTAAACCCAGGAAGAGACAAGGGTAGTGGCACATTTCTGTAATCCCAGCACTCAGGAGACAGTGGCTCACACCTATAATCCTACCTACTCAGGAGGCTGAGATTTGAGGATTAGAGTTCAAAATCAGCCCGGGCAGGAAATCAGGAAACCACCAGAAAACCAGAAGTGGCACTGTGGCTCAAGTGGTAGAGCGCTTACCTTGAGCTGAACCACTCAGGGACAGTGCCCAGGCACCACAACTGACCCCCCCCCCCAAAAAAAAAAGTCTCACAAACGTTCCTGCTTCAGGCTGGCTTTGAACTGTGATCCTCAGATCTCAGCCTCCTGAGTAGCTAGGATTATAGACATGAGCCACTGGGTGTCCAGCTCTGTGAGACTCTTATCTCCAATTAACCACCAGAAAACTGGAAGTGGTGCTGTGGCTCAAGTGGAAGAGCACTAGCCTTGAGCTAAAGAGCTCAGGGACGGACAGCATCCCGAATTCAAGCCCCATGAATGACCCCAAAAAAAGAAAAAGAAAACAGAAGCAGCTTCCAGGGACCTGAGTTAATCGGGAGGACAGGAGGACTGTGGGAAGCAGCTGTGAGCCGGCTCTGAGGGCTGGAGACCTGATCTTGGCTGTTACTCCCTGCATTGTGCTGGGGAGGCCAGGGGACTGCCTAATTGGACTAGGGGACCGCGTAGTCCTCACAGAGATGACTGGACAGCTCATGGAGCCTCAGGGAATGACACCTCAGGTAGGCTGGAGGAGGTGAATGGTTCCTTGGGCTTTCTCCTTACCCTGGGCTCATGGTCATACCTGGTGCCACAGTCCAGAGTGTCTTCGTTGGCCCAAGGAGGTAAGGATGTGGCTCCTGTATCCCCAGCTCTACCCAGTTGGTGTGACTGTAGAAATCCTGGTCCCAGAAGAAAGAAAAAAAAAAATAAGGCACGTACTTGTCTGATGTAGTTAATCACCAGTCCTAACGTGCCACTCCGTTAAATTCCTACCCAGAAAGTCTTCTCCATTCCCTGCTCCTGTCAGACACCTTGAATCCACGTCGCTACCACAGCTCTCTCTATTGCCCAGAACAGAGATATACCCATGTGGGAAATTGGGAAATGTTTTATCTTGGAGACTAAATCAAAAGCCTCTCAGTACCCACTTCTCCAGGGTCCTGCAGGTGATTGAGCCAAATCCCCACCTTGCCCATCTTATCACCTTTCTCTCCCCACTCCCTCTTCTGCAGCTCCAGTGGTCTCCTGTTGGGATATTCTTGGATGAGGGGCTTTAAAAGCATAGGACAGGGCTGGGAAGGTGGCTCAGTGGTAGAGCGCTTGCCTTGCATGCATGAGGCCCTGGGTTCGATTCCTCAGCACCACATAAGCAAAAAGAAAAAAGCCTGAAGTGGCACTGTGGCTCAAGTGGTAGAGCCCTACAACCAGACCCAAAAAAATAAAAAATAAATAAAAAAAAATAAAAGCATAGGACAGCCAGGTGCTGGTGGCTCTCGCCTGTAATCCTAGCTATTCAGGAGGCTGAGATCTGAGGATTGTGGTTGGAAGCCAGCCTGGGCAAGAAAGTCCATGAAACGTTTATCTCCAATTAACCACCAGAAAACCAGAAGTGGTACTGTGGCTCAAAGTGGTAGAGTGCTATCCTGAGTAAAAAAGCTCAGTGATAGTGCTCAGGCCCTGAGTTCAAGCCCATGACAAAAGCTCAGGGTAAGCCAGGCTCAAAGAAACAAATGATGTACATATGCAGAAGCTAGACCTAAAATAATACTTGGACATGATAAAGTATGGAGGACTCTAGGCATTCACAAACTGAAAGACCAAAGGATACTCTTAGGAAAGGAACACACAAGTGCAATTCCTATATGCCACTTGATCATATAAAATAATATTCATCAAAATGAGCTCCAGGAAATGGAAATAAGAGGTTTTTTTCTTTTTTGTTTTTGTTTTCTTTTCTTCTTGTCTTGTTTGTTCATTTTTCTGTCTTTGGGAGAGTAAGAGGAAAGCACAGAAATAGAAGGACAAAAGATAAACGAATGCAGCACTGGTACTAGACACTATGTTGAAAATAAACTATACAACTTATAGGTAGGGATGTCAGGGAAAAACTGGAGGAGAATAAGGGAAAGAGTGACATTGTCCAAAAAGAAATGTACTCTTTACCTGACTTATGTAACTATAGCCCCTCTGTACATCACCTTTATAATAACAATATAAAAAAGTTAATAAAAAAACTCAGAGACATTTCCCAGGACCCAGGAAATGAAGAACAAAAACAAAAAAACAAAAAACATGGGACATGTTTTTCCAAAGAACATCTGACATGTCAGCAGTGTTCCTGGTCTCAACAATTATTGCACGCAATGACCCATGAGATGTGAAAAAAACAAGATTGCCACGTACTGGTGGATCACACAATCCTAGCTACTCAGGAGTCTGAGACCTGAGGATTGTGGTTCGAAGCCAGCCAGGCAGGAAAGTCTGTGAGACTCGTATCTCCAATTAACCATAGAAAAAGCCAGAAATGGGGCTATGGCTCAAGTGGTAGAGCTCTAGCCTTAAGCAAAAAGAAGGTCGGAGACAGTGCCCAGGGCCAGAGTTCAGGCCCAAGGACTAGGAAAACAAATAACAAAAAACATGGGACATGTTTTTCCAAAGAATGACTGTCATGTCAGCAGAGTTCCTGATTGACCTCAACAATTATCACATGCGATGATCCATGAGACCTGAAAAAATAGCTTGCCAGGTGCTGGTGGCTTAGAGCTATAATCCTAGCTACACAGGATGCTGAGACCTGAGGATCTTGGTTCATAGCCAGCCTGGGCAGGAATATCCATAAGAGTCTCAACTCCAATTAAACGCCAAAAAGTAGAGCTGTAGCTCAAGTGGCAGAGTGCTAGCCTTGAGCAAAAAAGCTAAGGAACAGGGCCCAGGCTTTGAGTTCAAGTCCCAGGACCAGTAAAATAACAACCACCAAAAAAAAAAAAAACCAACACACATAGATTCCCCATGACCTAAAAGAAAGTTTAAGGTACAGCTTCATTGTAAGACTCAACGTCTACAAAACTACTTTAAAAAGCCATAAGAAACACTATAGTTCCTTTTTTTTTTTTTTTTGTGGGTTGTGGGGCTTGGGTGCTGTCCCTCAGCTCTTCAGCTCAAGGCAAATGCTCTACCACTTGAGCCACATCACCACTTCCAGTTTTCTAGTGGTTTATTGGAAATAAGAGTCTCACGAAGTTTCCTGCCTGGGTTGGCTTTGAACTGTGATCCTCAGATCTCAGCCTCCTGAGTAGCTAGGATTACAGGCATGAGCCACCAGCACTCGGCTCACTACAGCTCCTTTACACCAGAAATGGTCCATTTTACCTTCACTCAATTTGTCCTATCATTTCTAAATGACTCCATGTTCTTGACCACACACATGGTGTATACATATATATGTATGTATAGATCTGAAGGAAGCTACGAGGGGGCACAGAATCAGAGGGAAAATATACAACAGAGGGGCCCATCAGCTGCACTGGACATTGATGAAAATGAACTAAGCAACTCAGGGGCAGCGATGGGAGGGAGGGAGTGAGAGGGAAAGAGGGAACAGCTCACACTAAGCAAAGGAAAGCAATGCACATATCACCCGACGGGGAAGAAAGAGTTGTATTGTCTACGTTCATAGAATTCACAAACATAACCATGAAAGTGACAATTTGCCTTGTGAAGGTTAAAATGTGTTTGCAACTTTAAGTATCACTATCTCACAATACTGTGAAATTGGTAAAATGTATGTAATCATTTAATCTCAATGAAACATTATTTTTAAAAAAGGTCCATTCTGGGGGGAATTAAGGAGGCATCATGACGTTTAGGACAGATCCCTCTTGCCATTACGCCCATTCTTCTCACCTGTAATGCATGCAGTGCAGCGCCCAGGCGCTGGCGGGCCAGAGTGTAGTCATGGGCTCTGGCTGCCACCACGGTTTCCTGCAGAGCCTCGGTCATGCGCGTGCGTCCCTGGTCCAGCCGTTCAGCATCAAAGTGCAGGTCAGGGTCATTCTTGGTATTTGGCAAGAAGTCCTGGGCTGCATTGGCCCGTGACACCTCACGTAAGGCCGCTCGGAACTGCCGGGAAGTATACTCAGGTCCAAAGTAGGCAGCAAAGAGGTGGTCAGTGAGGATGGTTTTGCCCTGACACAAGTGGAGGGAAAGGGGATTCCATCATTGCTCACATCACCTTAGCAACTGGTACCCAAGTATGGATGGACTCAAGGGTACCCCACAAGGGAGGGGTACATCTGGACCTTTCCTTTTTTTTTTTTTTATCAGTCATGGGGCCTGAACTTGGCCTGGACGCTGTCCCTCGGGGCTCTTCAGCTCAAGGCTAGCGCTCTACCACTTGAGCCAAGCGCCACTTCCGGCTTTTTTCTGCGTATGCTGAGGAATCGAACCTAGGGCCTCATGCATGCGAGTCAAGCACTCTACCACTGAGCCACCTTCCCAGCCCCGCATCTGGATCTTTCTGAGGAGGAGGCACTCCTGATTTCAGGACCAGGACTACTGGGCATTGTTGCTATAGGAGTTGGGCTGGAGTAGGAAAGAGAGGGGGTCCAAAGATGGGTGGCCAGGGGTGCTCACCAGAAAGTCTTCTAGACGAAGGGGCGGCCGGTCAGGGAGTGGATGCTCCAGGAAGAGCTGTAGGGTGACATTAAGCGCTGCCTCCTCAGTCATGTGCTGGTGGCTGATGGAGTCAGGGGCAGCCATGAGGTTCCAGACATTGGTTAAGAAGGCAGATGTAGGGGGCAGCAGCAGCTGCAGCAGAAGCAGGGTTGAGGGCTGAAGGGCCCTGGTAAGACAGGGGCGCTTCCACAGAGAGCAAGGCTGAGACATGGACCTGGGGGACAGAAGGCTCTCAAGGGAGAAGGAATCAGTGGCCGATTCCAGGGTAGGCCCTGTTCTGTTTGTCCCCAAGGCACCTGTTTTGGCAGACTCCGGCTTTGTCTCAGATACATTTATTCCAGCCTGGTTCCCCGCCCTGTCCCACTGAGTCACCCTGCCCACCTGAGGGCCTTACCAGGCCAATAAGGACACACACGCCCTAACTACCTGAGGGCCTTACCAGGCCAATAAGGACGTTACCTGTCTAAGACTCCTCCTCCCAGGAGTCCCCAGGGCCTTACCAGGCCAATAAGGACACACACACCCTGACTACCTGAGGGCCTTACCAGGCCAATAAGGATATTACCTGCCTAAGACTCCTCCTCCCAGGCCTCCCTCATTCCAGGAGTCCCCAATGTTCCCAGGGACCCCCTTATATATAGGATATGGGTTCCCCTCAGCTTCTCTCCTACCTGGTTGCTGGGTCTCCTGGTCAGGGCTGGCTGAGGCTTGGCATCACAGGGCACTTAGGTCAGAGTTATAATTAACTGAACCTCAATGTGGGGGGGAGGGAAGCCCTAGTAAGGGGGCAGGCAAGCCAGGCAGCCCCTGGCCCTCCATTCATGCCCACCCAGGACCACAAGCAGCAGGCTGCACAGGATGATACCAGGGCAGGCCTCCGGGCAGTGGTGCAGTGCCGAGGTGAGGAGGGCTGGGGAGGAAAAAGGGAGGGAGTGGCACAGCAGCATGACTCAGGCCTGGCACAGTGCCAGGGACAGACCCAGACAGACGCATCCCTCTACCAGCACCAGCACCCGTGCCTGGCTCAGGGCCTGCAGCGCTCCAGAGGGGCACACCGGCAGCTCTGAGGATCCAGAAGGCAGCCTTCTGTGTCTGCTCTGACCCCTACCACATGCACACACAAGAGATGAATTTGTGGCAAAATATTTTATTGCTGCCCTCCCAATGGTGGACCACTGGGGCCTGAGGGTTGGAGCAGGGTGTGTCACAGCATCTTCTGGAATAGGGCGATGGCCTCATCCACCTTCCTGAGCTCTGCCTCTGTCTGTTGTAGCTGGGGGGAACAATGAGAGTGGGCAGTGTGGTGAGAATCCAGTCCTAAGAGGGGACCTGATCACCAGGACAGAGAGGGGTCCAAGCTGAGATGGGGAACTCAGGAGCCATGCACCTGAGGTTCCATCCCCAAGTCCCCTACCCAGCATTCCTCTCCCTTCCACCACGACCCTGACCGTGACTCTGGGTCTCTCTTTTTCAGAGTGGGCAGTGCTCAAGGACAAGGGACCTTGAGTAAATGCCCTGCCGAACACCCCACTCAGGTAGGAGAGGACTGGCTGCCCAAAGGTCATATAATCTTCACTTATAAAACGAAAGGCCAGCTGGGCGCTGGTGGCTCACGCCTGTAATCCTACTTACTCAGAAGGCTGAGATCTGAGGATCACAGTTCAAAAAGCCAGCCTGGGCAGGAAACTCCGTGAGACTCTTATCTCCAATTAACCACCAGAAAACCAGAAGTGGCGCTGTGACTCAAACTTCAGCCCCACAACCAAAAAAAAATTAAAAAAAAAAAAAAAAAGGCTAGCTAGGTTCTGGTAGCTGATGCTCATAATCCTAGCTATTTAGGAGGCTGAGATCTCAGGATCCCGGTTCAAAGCCAGTCTAGGCAGCTGGGCAGGAAAAGTCCATGAGACTCTTAACACCAACTAACCACCAAACAAAAAGCCAGAAATGGAGCTGTAGCTCAAGTGGTAGAATGATATCCTTGAGCAAAAAAGATGGGGGACAGGCTGGGAAGGTGGCTCAGTGGTAGAGTGCCTGCCTTGCATGCATGAGGTCCTGGGTTCGATTCCTCAGCACTATACAAGCAGAAAAAGCTGGAAGTGGCGCTGTGGCTCAAGTGGTAGAGCGCTAGCCTTGAGCTGAATTGCTCAGGGACAGCGCCCAGGACCACAGTTCAGGCCCCACAACTGACCAAAAAAAAAAAGCTAGGGGACAATGGCCAAGCCCTGAGTTCAAACCCTAGGACTGGCATGTATGCACGCACACATACAAGCACACGTGCACATACACATCCCTAACACTGTCTGTCTACTAGAGCAAGGGACACTGGAAGAATGGAGTCAGCTGAACTGAACTTCATCAACACTCTCTACACTTCAGTAGTCTTACTGTTATCTCTGGTCCTTGCACTTTACCCACTGATTCTCTTGGAAAATCCCAGAGGCAGAGGGTGTGCAGGGGGGCCATACCAGGAGGCAAGCCTGGATTTCTGGGGTCACCCCAGTAGGCTATGGCAGTAGAAATAGGTTGTAGACTTGGAGCTCGGCCACATGTGGGTCCTAAGCTCAGCCCCTGAAGTGAGTTTTGATGTTCTGGGCAGCAGGGTCTGGTCTACTAGGAGTGAGGTTCTAAGTCTATTTCTGTCCAATCTGCTGCATGACCAGGAATGGGGTCTTGGTCCCTGGCTGTCCTCATGTGTACAGGGAGGGGACTCCATGCTCAAGGCACCAGGGATCTGAACTTCCCCATGGATTGTCCAGGGTTGGCAGAGTCCAGGGTCAGAAGCAGGATTTGAAGACAGAAGAGGCGGGAGCCCTCCCACCCCCGTGCAGCACCTAGCACACACCTTGGCGTCATCTGCCTCCTGGACTTCGAGGGGAACCTTGACAGAGTAGCCGGAGGCGGTGCGGCGCTCCCGCAGACGCTGGGCCTGCCTCTGCGCCTCACTTCGTTTGGCCTGCAGTTTGCTCAGTTCCCGGGCTGGATCCACTAGTCCCTGCAGCTGCAGGTGGATGGAGCAGCGGTCAGAGGCCAGAGCCACGGCGCAGCCCTGGGGTGCAGGGGCCCCCAAGGCCAGGACAGCCACCACACCCGCGCTGGCCAGCGCCTGCACATATCCAGACACCGCGGAGGCCACAGCACCTGTGGCCTCATCAGCCACTTCCAGGAAACCTGCAGGGGAGGGAGGAAGGTGAGGCCTGGCCCCAAGGATTCAGGACACTTGGTAGCTGCAGCAGGACTCTCAATGGGCAGGGGGTCTCGGGGGCCTGAAGCTCACAGTCGGGCCGGATCCGGGTCAGGTTGTAGTCGGCACGTAGGGAGCGCACGGCTCGAGTGATGCTTAGCGCGAGTTCAAGGGAGGCTTCCGCTTCAGTGTCCTTCCAGGAGCACTGTGGGCAGAGAGGAGGAGAGGAGGCGGTGAAGGAGGATGTGGAGTGGACCAGAGCCCTCTCCGGATCACACGCCATACCTCTGCAGGCTCTGGATAAGGGGTAATGCAAAGGCTAGCAGGAGCTTGTGGTGTCCGTCGGGGAAGCCTCTGGAACAGCTCCTCCGTCACAAAGGGCATGAAGGGTGAGAGCAGCCGCAGGCCAACGTCCAGACAGGTGTAGAGGGTCTGGCGGGCGCTCTCAGCTGCCACCTGATCTGCTCCATTCAGTACTGGCTTTATGCACTCCTAGAGGGGGATGGAGAGGCACAGGGCTCAGGGGGGAGGGGTCTAGTCTCAAGCTCTCATGTGCCTGTGAGGACTGAGGAGAGATCAGGTTGACTCAGCCTCAGAGCCGGGCACAGCTGTGCACAGCTGCTCCCACACTCCACCCCACTGATCTGCTCCTCACCAAGTACACGTCGCATAGCTCATAGAGCCAAAAACTGTACTGAGCAGTGGTGATGGCTGGGAAATCATAGGCCTGGAAACCTTCATTGCTAAGCCGCACAGCCTCGGTCAGCCGGCTGCGGATCCAGCGGTCCACCAGGCTCTCGTGGCCTCCAGGCTGCAGGGAAGAAGTCTATCAGCAGCAGGCCACCACAGGCCTGGGGAGGAATCAAGACTCCACAGGGTAGGAACCGTGGGCGACTCTATATTCCTACTGGGGCCCAAGGCACCCAAGCATGTGCCCAGGCCCTGGCCACCTTGGGAGGACCAATGCCTCCAACTGTCTGCTTTAATCTATCCCACCGGCATTGGGGGAGGCCCTTTTGGCTATAATCCTGTCATAACCTTGGAGTCTGCTTGGTGCCTAAAAGGTAGAGATGCAGCCCATGTGACATGAGAATTACCAACTTTACCACCGACTAGGCCCTTACCTTGGAGGTGGGTGAGGGCACAAAACCCTTCCCAAGGCCACGGAGGGCAAACTTGGTGGCGTTCCAGAGCTTGTTGCAGAAGTGGCGGTAACCCAGAATCCGGTTCACATCCAGGTTGATGTCCCGCCCTGGGAGACGGGTGAGCATGAGTCCTTCCAGTCCTCCCTCCTAGCCAGACCCAGAGGGACCCAGGGCAGAGGGTGGGTGGGCCCCAAGGAAGGAGGCTACAGCAGTTGAAAGGGAGGTGTGCAGGCCATACCCTGAGATGTATAGGCACAGAGTCCAAAGCGGAGGGCATCAGTGCCACACTCAGGAATCCCTACCGGGAAGTCGGCTTTCTGCAGTAAGAGGCAAACGGAGCAGTGTCCCTGGTCAGCTCTGCCCACCTTCAGCTGGGCTCCACCCCAAGGCCCTGCCCTCCATACCTGCCCTTCTCTAGCTTTCTCCACCTCACTGGGATCCAGGTTGCTATTCAGTAATTGGTCATGAAGGCCCTGAAAGGGAGGAGCAGTCAGGTAGTCAGACAGCTGTGCCTGCAGCCCCATAGCTGTTCTCAGCTGGCCCAGCACCTGCCTTACCTGCAAGGAGACTCCATGGATGACGTCCAGGGGGTCGATGACGTTGCCTAGAGACTTGCTCATCTTCCTGCCATGAGCATCACGCACGATAGCATGCAGGTAGACCTGCAGAGCAGGCAGTGGGGAGGCCACCAAGGCTGAGTCCTCCCTTCCAGTCTCAGTGCCCTCCACCAGGCTCTATCTTCTCCGACCTCAAGCCCCTCTGTGCCTACAAGCTTTATGTCAATTGCTGGCACTCCCACCTCACCCCGGGCCAGGACACAGGAATTGCTAAGTGTAGCTGAGGCTGGATTTCAGCCCCACAAATCAGGCCCACCCAGAGCCATCCTGAAGCCAGTCTGTGTTCCCACCCATGGGGAGCCCGAGAACAGGTAAGGAGAGTGGAGGCTGTGGGAGGCTTGGTCACTTTCCTACCTCTCTGAAAGGCAGCCTGCCAGTGAGCTTTAGGCCGAGCATGACCATCCGGGCCACCCAGAAGAAGAGGATATCATGACCTGTTTCCAGCAGTGTCCCTGGGTAGAACACACTGAGGTCTTCGGACTAAGAGCAGAGCAGGGTGTGAAGGGCAGCCGAGTATCCCCTTCCAAGACCTCACCCCAAACCAGCCGAGACCTAGGAACATACCTGATTGGGCCAGCCCAAGATGGAGAAGGGGAAGAGGCCAGAAGAGAACCAGGTGTCCAATACATCCTCATCTAAGAAGACCAGAACAAAAGTCACTTGATCAGAGGCGGTTGTAGAGAGGGTCAGAGACTCAGCTGTCCCCACCCACAAGGCCCTGCCTTGCCTTGCTGGAGGCTGATCTTGTCGGGGGATACTCCAAACTCTTTGGCTGCCTTCTCCCGCGCCTCTGCCTCACTGCGTCCACTCACCCAGTATCGCCCATCAGGGTCCTGTCACAAATGGAGTGAGTACCCAAAGGGGTGCCTTCACCTTGCCCTGTCCCCTTCCCCAACCAACGACTCAACAAACCATGGCGCCCACACATGTTTAGCCCGGTGCCAGCCTCACCTCCCCAGGGGGCACTGTGGGATCATCAACAGTAACAAAGTAGGCTGGAATGCGATGGCCCCACCACAGCTGCCGGGAGATGCACCAGTCCCTGCAAATGGCGACATGGGGAACCAGGGAGGCCGTGAGGAGCCCCTGCCTGGGCCCCTTACCCTCGCTCAGCGACACTCTTCCCCCTGAGAGGGTCTACACACCGGATGTTGTCCATCCAGGAATGCCATGTCCGTTGATGGGCTTCAGGCAGGATACGGAGGTCGCCCCGGGTCACAGCAGCGCTGGCAGCCTGGGCCATCTCCCCACAACGCACGTACCACTGCGGCCTTAGCAGAGGCTCCACCACATCCTTGGAACGGCTAGAGGTACAGGTCGGGTAGAGAGGCCAGGCAGTCAGCCCGAGAAGCGCCCACCCACCCTTTCCCCGGCCCCCGCCCCGCCCTGGCCCCTGCCCTCACTTGCAAAGCGGCACCACCATGGGGTTGTCCTCAACGCCACGAAACAGTCCCTGCTCTTTCAGGGCTGCCAGCACTGCCTTCCTGGCCTCAAACCTGGGCATGTTCTGGAAGAGAGGACTGTCACAGTGATGCCTAGATACCCCTGAGCCTCCTCCAACTTGGACCCATACCCTGGCAACCTTACCAGGAAAGGTGGGGGCACGTTTACGAGGGCCCCACGGGAGTCCATGATGCTGATGGCTTCCAGCCCATGCCGCTGGCCGACCTCATAGTCATTCTGGTCATGTGCAGGGGTGATCTTCACAGCACCTGGAGTACACGAGGGGTGCCAGGTCCCAGGTGACTGGAAAGCTCCTTCCCACACTCACCCTCCATGCTGAAGGATATGGCGCCAAGACCTCCATAGCCACTACTTCACTAATAAGTTTCCTAAGACCCAGCCCCAGTCCTGTCTGATCAGGGGAAGATTATTTTCTCTTTGAGAGAGGAGAGGGAGGGCTGAGGTACACCTTGTGGGCTTCCCTTCTTTAATAGCACCAAGCAGGCCCCCTGCTCACCTGTGCCAAACTCCATGTCCACAAACTCATCGAAAACAATGGGGAGGCTCCGAGACAGGAACGGGTGGATCAGGCTCTTCCCCTTCAGATGCTGGGGACAGAGATGATAAAAACGCACTGAGAAGCCAGGTACCGCTGGCTCATACATGTAATCCTACTCAGAAAGCTGAGATCTAAAGATTGAGGTTCAAAGCCAGCCCAGACAGGGAAGTCCAGGAGACATTAATCTCCAATTAACTACTCAACAAGCCAGAAGCGGTGCTATGGCTCAAAGTGGTAAGCACTAGCCCTGAGCACAAAAAGTTCATGGAAAACACCCAGGGCCTGAGTTCAAGCTCAGGACTGGTGTGTGTGCGCACACGTGCACATGCAGAGGCACTGGACCCTGCTAAGTTATAATGTCAGTTAACTATCAAATGGCAAAATATACTTTATTTTAAAAAGAAAAAACTGCACACAGGACTGGGCCTGAGTCTGATTAACCTGTAACACTCAAACACCCCTGAATGGTGTGACAACTTCATCTTCAGGGCTGGGAAAGGATCTAGAAGATGAGTTTCGTACCCAATCTTCCTGGGGCATAGCCATGGGCCTCAATACCCACCTCCCTTGCCCCATAAATGGGGGAACCTTTTGAGAATGGCATCTTTTCCCAGCCGTGAGCAGCACCCTACCTTACCTTATATCTGGGATCATTGGGGTGCACAGCCACAGCCACGTCTCCCAGCATGGTCTCAATCCGAGTTGTTGCCACCACCACCTCCTCGTTGTGGTCTGGAGGGACAAAGGCTTTGTGGTTTCAGCCCTGGTTTGTTTCCCTCAACTCCAACCCACTCAGCCCAGATCTTGGTGCCCTTGGCTCTCACCTGAACCTTCCACCTTATAGGCAAAGGACACAAGGACCCCAAACTCCACTTTCTCCTTGTAACCAGGTACTGAGAGTAGGGTTCGGCCCGTTAGCTCTTTTTTATCGACCTACACGTAAGATGGACATTTAGAGCAGTGGCCCAGTGGCTGGGGTGAGGGATGGAGATGAAAGGCTGGGGAGTAGGGGTGTACCTCAATGTCAGAGATGGCGGAGTTGAGTGTGCAGGACCAATTAACCAGGCGGGTACTGCGGTAGATGACACCTTCTTCATGAAGCCGGACAAAGGCTTCAGTCACAGCTGTTGACAATTTCTGGGCAGAATAGGGAGAGGTAAGAGAACTGGGTCTTAGTACTTGGCAGACCCCCATCCCAGGGAGCAGGACCCAGTGATATGTGGCTGGTCCAGAGTCCCAACAGGTGGCACATTTTCCCTGAATGGGAGAAGGGCTTATAGGAGCATAAAGACAGGTGTCAAGCCTGAGGATTCTGGGGCATCAGGGCAGCCACACAGCGGGAGTCATGAGCTGGGCAAAGCATCCTGGGAGCTCAGGCGCCAGGAGGAAGGTGGTCTGATTCCATCCACGTGGGGAACTCGAGAGCTCTTAAGCAGCCCATCTGGTGAGATGGGAGGTGTTAAGATCTCTGTGGTGTCCTAGCAACCGGCATCTCCTAGGGGTGTGTACACGTGTGCCATTCCTTGTCCCACTCAAGAAGCCTCTCACTCCCATCCCAGCGGAGACCCTGCCTGCTCACTGGGTCCATGGTGAAACAGGCTCGATCCCAGTCCAAGGAGCTGCCAAGCTTCTTTAGCTGGTGGTAAATCCGGTCGCCCTTCCTAAGCAGACAGAAAGACCAGGATCAGCACTCAGGCCTGGGCTTGAGGGAAAGCATGACAGGATGGTGTGAGCATCACTCACAACCCTGAAATTGACCAGGGCCTGGAACCAACTGACCCCTGGGATCTGTGGGACGGTATGGGTAGGACCCTGCAGGCAGGGTCACGGTAGGGATGGAGAGGCAGGGCTTTGGGGCCTGCAGTAATGAATGTGGTGTACTCACTCCTCCTTCCACTTCCAGACCTCCTGAAGAAAGGCCTCTCTGCCCAGTTGGTGCCGGTTCAGCCCCCGCTCTCGCCATAGTTTCTTCTCCACCACCACTTGGGTGGCAATGCCCGCATGGTCACAGCCTGGGTTCCACAGGGTGGTCTCCCCACGCATGCGGTGCCTACGGGAGGGTGTGAAGACCAGATTGTGAGCCGGGTGCCGGAGCCTGGCAGCAAAGAGCTTCTAGGCAGGGAGTCAATAGATGTGCAGGGTAGACTTGGAACCCTAGAGTTCTAAATCTAATCAGGGGGAAGATTCACAAGAATAGACAAGCAATCCAGAAAAGAGCAAAGAGGAGGCGCTGGCCCAAGTAGATAGCAAATTGTGAGGAAATTATGCTTAGTGAAATAGGGTATCATCAGGAAAAAAGTAACAAATTAAGAAAGCAAAACAGTAGGGGAAATGGATCAAAGCAAAGTGAGCATTTGTGAAGGGCAGCAGTCCATATTAATAGGTAAGGATAAAGGATTGTGTAAGTTTTTTTTGAGATAAGCTAATTATTTGAAGAAAAAACTACAGACACAAATAAATTGTATACACACTGAAGTACTTAACAATAAGCAACCAAAACTACGAGAAAAACATAGAAAGTAAGTTTCCAAAAATTGGGAGGGAAAAACAAAAGGAAAAAATAACATGGATAACGTATCTGTAAATGTGAAGTAGGAGGGGCCTTCTGTAGTAAGATACAAAAGCTGTATTCAAAATAACATTATTGAGAAATTGGCTAGATTCAGGCTAAATGCCAGAAACTACCTCCCAGTAGAGTTAAAAGACATGAGAACTAGTCCATTTTGGATAAAATGAAAGTAATGCTTTAGGGAATTAATCAACTGGAGACAGTAAAATTTTTTGTGTGTGACATCCTTTTAGAATTACTAGGTACAGCCAGGCTGCTGGTGGCTCACACCTGTAATCCTAACTACTCAAGAGGCTGAGATCTGAGGATAGCAGTTCAAAACCAGCCCAGGCAGGAAAGTCCCTCAGATTCTTATCTCCAATAAACTACTAGAAAATTGGAAGTGGCACTGTGGCTCAAGTGGTACAGTGCTCGCCCTGAGCTGAAGAACTCAGGGACAGCACCCCGGCCCAGAGTTCAGGCTCCCTGACTGACAAAAAAAAAAAAAAAGAATTACTAGGTATACATAAAAGTGGTGGAGAGAACTGGGATATAGCTCAGACGCAAAGCATTTGTCTAGCAAGTACAACATCCTGGGCTGGATTCCTAGTAACAAAAAAGAAAAGACTAAAAAAACTCCACAAAAACCCAAACAACAACAACAAAAGTGGTAGAAAGAAAATTACTACAGCCAGGCGCTGGTGGCTCATGCCTGTAATCCTAGCTACTCATGAGGCTGAGATGTGAAGATCATGGTTCAAAGCCAGCCCCAGCAGGAAACTCCGTGAGACTCATCTCCAATTAAGTACCGGAAGTGGAGCTGAGGCTCAAGTGGTAGAGTGTGAGCCTCAGCTGAAGAGCTCAGGGACAGCTCCCAGGCCAAGTTCAAGCCCCATGACCGACAAAACAAAACAAAAAAAATTACTACCAAAAAAACTGTAACATTCATACATTACTTTTAATGACTCATGATTTACTGGGTTCAATCCTCAGTACCAAAAAGTAAAAGACTAAAAAAACCCAAAAACTAAAAACCCAAAGAACATTAAAAAATGATGGAGAGAAAATTACAAAAAACTATAACATCCATACCTTATTTTTAATGACTCATTCAAATGGCTAGTCATGATTTTACCCTGCTATGTTCAGACCTTGCAGATAGAAGTATGCTCAAGAATTGGTTCTTAAATGCCAGAAAATACCCAAACATATTTAATGCACTCCAAGATCGTTATTAGGTATAACTATTAAAGAAATGAAACACGTGGCTGGGCCTATGGCTCAGTGGTAGAGAGCTTGCTTATCAAGCATGAGACCCAGCAGTACAAAGAGGAAAACTATAACCACAATAAAAATAGTTTCACTAGAAGCACCTCTTGAAAGTTCACATAAACTTGATTCACGCACGCACGCACGCACACACACACATATGGCAGCCAGGAGCTGGCTGCTCATGCCTGTAAGCCTAGCTATAAAAGAGGCTGAAATCTGAGAATCACTGGTCAGTCAGCCTGGGCAGAAAACTCCATGAGACTTTCATCTCTAATTGGTCACTTAATAAGTAACCAGAATTAGAGGTACGTCTCAAGTGGTAGAGAACCAGCCTTGAGCAGAAAAGCTAAAAGATAGTCCCCAGGCCCTGAGTTTAAGCCCCAGTACTGGCACACACAAAAAAAGTTAGGAGCTGGGTACTGGTAGCTCATGCCTGTAATTCAACTCAGGAGGTTGAGATCTGAGGAAAGGAAAGGAAAGTTCGTGAGACTGTTATCTCCAGGAAACCAGAAGTGGTAGAATGCTAGCCTTGACCAAAAGAGCTCAGGGACAGCACCCAGACCCCAAGTTCAAGCCCCACAACCAACACAACAACAAACAAGTCAGGACTATTTGTAGAAAAATACCCCTATTCCTGGAGTAAGGAAAAGGAAAATATATATATAGTTAACAACTCAATTACTTGCTTTTCATAATCTTCTATTTGATAGAGTCATTTAAGGTTTTATTTCAGCTTATTTTTTGGTTATCTTTTCCCTCAGGACTTGCTAGGCAGGTACTCAACACTTCAGCCACATCCCCAGCCCTTTTTTTCTTTAGTTGTTTTTCAAATAGGGTATCCAAACTTTTTCTGAGGCCAGCCTTGAGCTGTGAACCTCCTTACCTATGCCTCCTGAATGGCTGGGATTGCAGGCATGTACCACCATGTTTGGTCCTCAAATGTAATTTTTATTCTAAAATGTTGATGTAAATCTATTCCATTGAAAGGGGCTGGGCATGGTGGTGTGTACTTGTAGCCCCAACTACTTGGGAAGCTGAGACAGGAGAATCATCTAAGTCTAAGAGCTGGAGAGTAGCCTAGGCATACAGTGAGACCCCAGCTCCAACAACAACATAGAGAGAGAGAGAGAGAGAGAGAGAGAGAGAGAGAGATTGAGAAGGGGGAGGGAGAGAGAGAGAATATGAAGGGAATCTATATGGAAGGAAAAATCTATGTAACTCAGACTGGTAAGAAACACAAGATCCTCCTATCTTCATCTCTGTATGCTGGGATTATAGGTATGTATTATCATGCCCTGTATAAAATTATTAATTTCCATGGGTGTATGGATATGTAAATAAAATAAGAAAGATCTGGAAAGATACATATATCCAAGTGACAATAGTTATTTCTCTTTTTCTCTTTTGTTGGTGTGGGTCTTAAACTCTGAACCAGGTGCTGGTGGCTCACACCTATAATCCTAGCTACTCTGATAGTTGAGATCTGAGGGTCTCATTCCAAAGCCAGATTGGACAGACAAATCTTAGAGATTCCTATTGCCCATTGACAAGTAAAATTATGGAACTGGCTCAAATGGTACAGAGCCAGCCTTGATCGAAAAAGCTGAGTGAGGCCTGAAATTTAAGCTCTATTAAAAAAAAAAAAAATTGCCAGGAGCCAGTGGCTCACGTCTATAATCCTAGCTACTCAGGAGGCTGAGATCTGAGGCTCTCAGCTTAAAGCCAGCCCGGGCAAGAAACTCTATGAGACTCTTATCTCCAATAAACCACTAGAAAACCGTAAGTGGCACTGTGGCTCAAGTGATAGAGCGTTCACCTTCAGCTGAAGAGTGCAGGGACAGCACCCAGGCCCAGAGTTCAAGCCCACGACCGATTAAAAAAAAAAAAATTCTCCCGGACTGGGAGGTATACTCAGTGATGGCATGTATATTTCATATGCAAGAGGTATTGAGCTCAATTTCTACCACTATTAAATAAAATGTACAATATGTTTTTTCTTAGTAAACAAAGAAGGGAGAAGAGAAGGAGCTGGTCTAAGTGCTATTCAGGATGAGATTACTTGACTAGAAGAGGCAGCTAAAAAGCAGAGGGAGTCTGGAGAGAGAGGTGGAGTGCCACCGGGGGAGCAGAACAAGGCCAGCACAGGCCTGGTCAGGAAAGAGGAGCCAGGGAGGGCAGAGGGCACCAGCTGGAGGCAGACAGGAGCTCACCATCGAGTCAGGGAGTCCTGGATGGCGTTGGTGAGCGCATGACCCAGGTGCAGGGAGCCTGTCACGTTGGGGGGTGGGATGCACATCATGAAGACCCCTCGGGGATTTGGTGCTGACACATTAGGACGCTGATGACGGAGAAGGATGGGCACATGCTAAGGTCTCATGTCACCTCACCTAGCCCCCTCCCAGGCCATGGCTCCTTTAGCCCCGCCCTTCCTTCCCTACTCCAAGCTCCTTAGGGCCTTGGCGGCAGTGACTGCTCACCCCGTATTCCGGCTTGAAGAAGCCCTGCTGCTCCCACCAAGGGTACCAGGCAGCCTCCACATACTGAGGGCTGTAGGAGTCCGGCATGGTGCCACTGACATCTGGAGAAAGGAAGGGAGAACTCAGTGCTGAGGCTGGGTGCAGCCAGCACAAAAGAGCCTCTGGCACAGGCAGCTGAATGATCTGCAAACCCTTACAAAACCTGGAAGATGCCAGGACAGGGAAACAAGGGGAGAAAACTTGGGAAGGGATAGCTAACGGGGGGGGGGGGCTTTCCCTCCTAGTACCTTTCTTTTCCCCAGGTGGGGTTGGGAGGTCATAGGTAATGACTCCAAGCTCCCGCTTCTCCTTCTTCTCTTGTTTCGGTTTCTTCTGCTTGAGAGGGAGAAAGTACAAGCTAGACATCTAGCACCCCACACAGAACCCAGCCTTCTTCCAACTCCTCCTGTGGCCTCTCACCTCTCCAGGGGGTGGCTGCTGCTGTTGGTTCTTCTGCTTTTGTTGGAATTTCTCTAGCTTCTCCCGTTTCTTTGCCTCTTTTTTGAGTTGAGCAGCTGTCTTTGGGGGTGCAGGGACCTCAGGACCTGGAGAGAGGCACAGAAGTTCAGACTTAGCCTGCTGGCAATCCTCTGCCAATAGTGCTATTTCAGCTGCCCAAGGCTTGTGGTGAGCTGACCTCCTACCTCCCACTCTCATAGGACCCAGTGATTCAGTCATTCCTAAGATAAACAAGAGTATGGGTTGGGAGCTGGTGGCTCACACCTGTAATTATAGCTACTCAAGAAGTTGAGATCTGAAGACTGAGGTTCAAAGCCAGGCCAGGCAGGAAACTCTGTGCAATCCTTCTTCTTCTTCTTTTTTGGTCAGACCTGGGGCTTGAAGTCAGGGCCTGGGCGCCGTCCCTGAGCTTCATTCCCTCAAGACTAGCACTCTACCACTTACGTCACAGCATCACTTCCAATTTTTTCTGTTTATGTGATATCAAGGAATTGAACCCAGGGCTTTATGCATGCTAGGCAATACTCTCCACTAGGCCACATTCCCAGCCCCATCTGTGAAATTCTTTTTTTTTTTTGTCAAACGTGGGGCTTGGACTTGAGGACCGGGCGCTGTCCCTGAGCTCTTCAGTTCAAGGTGAGTGCTCTACCACTTGAGCCAAAGCGCCACTTCTAGTTTTCTGGTAGTTAACTGGAGAGTCTCACGGACTTTCCTGCCTAGGCTGGCTTCGAACTGTGATCCTCAGATCTCAGCTTCCTTAGGAGCTAGGAGCTAAGGAATTGAACCCAGAGCCTCATACATGCGAGGCAAGCACTCTACCACTGAGCCACCTTCCTAGCCCTCGTCTATGAAATTCTTATCACCAATTATACACACACACACACACACACACAGAGCCA